CACCGAGTAATCGAACTTTGTCATGCTGAATTAGGTTTTCAAGCCGCTAAAACTTATGATATTGAAGTTTGATTGCCCCTTAGTAAAAGGTGATTAGAAATTTCCTCGTGTAGTAATTGTGAAGATTTTCAAAGTCGGCGAACCCAAATGAGAGTAAAAAAAAAAGATGGAACCAAGTATTATCCTCATACGCTTAATGGTTCAGCCTTAGCGGTTGACCGCTTAATAGTTATTTTATGTGAATATTATTATCAAGAAAAAGAAAATCGGCTTGAAATTCCTCCCGAATTAAAAAAGTATTTTTTTTAAATTATTTTCTTTTTTTTCCTCACCGCCACAGCAAAGTAAAAATAAGTGGAGGAATTAACAATATTAAAAAACCGCTTTCTAAATCATCGGTGGAAAAATTATAAAAAGTGGCTAAACAGCAATATCAAATAAAAAGTGAAAATAAAAGAATCAATAAGTNGCCACCGCTAAATNGATTTCCGCCCAAAATAGAAATTTACTATAANTTTCTTAACTTGGCATTTTAACCTTATTTTTGGCGGTCAGGAGGCGAGCAATTACTTTTTTTAATTGTTTAATTTGGTGAGTTTGCCGCAACTTTCCCATTTTACTTTCCATTTTAAGAGCAGCAAGGGCTAAACGGTATTGGGCTAATAATTCTTCCGGAGAAAATTTTTTTTTAGTCTCTTTTGATTTAGTTAATTTTTTATCCATTTTTCTCTACTACTTTTCATTTTAAACCTTTTTTTTTGGGGAGTTTACTAGCCGCTTTTTTTAGCACTTCATAAGCCACATTGCGGGGTAGTCCTTGCACTTCATAAATTATGGTGCCGTTCTGCACCACTCCTTCTCAACTTTCTATCGAGCCTTTTCCGGAACCCATTCGCACTTCCANAGGCTTTTTAGTCTTTCCTCAATGGGGNAAAATTCTAGTTCACATTTTNCCNCCNCTTTTTTTAGCCGCTTTAACNGCCGGNCTAATCGCTTTTCGACCTGCCTCGATAGTTTTATTGCTGACATAACCTCCTCCTCCATAGGCTCGTAAGCCAAAATCTCCATAACTAACCTCCCGGTTTCCTTTGGCTTGACCCTCATATTTCGGATAATGATTATAACGATACTTAGTTTTTTTGGGAATTAACATACTAATATTATAGTTTTAAGTTTTTTTTCTAATTGGCGGAGTGAGTAGGATTCGAACCTACGCGTTAAAAACAACACTTCTTTAGCAAAGAAGCTCCTTAGACCGCTCGGACATCACTCCTTTTTGATTCATAAACTAATTTTAGACTTCGGAAATTTCTAATTCTGAAT